TTGCTAGTTTGCCTCCCTCTATTCTTGAGTCCTTTCATTTCCCATCATTCACTTCTGTGCCTTTACTCTGTGGTTTCTTCTGACTCCTTTCCTGCCACTGATTGCTGTGTTTCTCTCCTTGCCCTAGTGAATTACCTAGCTTGATAATTTTAATTTTTATTGTTCACCGAACTTCAAAAAATTTAGGAATTACCATTTTATTACACTTTATTCTCTTTAATTTAATCATGGTTTTAATGCCAATACTTCGTATGTCTTCTCCAGAAGTCTATTAGGTCTTCCCTACTTCTTCTGTATGCATTGGGGCTCATGTAAGTGATGAGAGGTTCAGGCTCTTCAGCCCCCAATGCACCAGCAAGCATGTTTACAGTTTCTTCTCTATATAGTTATACATGTCTTTGCTTTTCTTTTTGTCTCCTTGCATTGCGTAGCCTCAGGAGTAGAGTGGACTCCCCATCCTATGGGATACTCTGGGGCTGTGCAGTCATTTGAATGATAAACTCCTGTGGTCCTAATTTGGAGCCAATGAGATCCTATACTAGCCCTTTCTCACAAGAGTCCCACAAACCTATGGCCAGCTCACCTGCCTTCTGCCTCTAGAATTGACTGGCTCAATAAAAGAGAATTGAGTTGAGTTGGTTGCATTTTAAATCAAAACCAGGAAGTAGATCAAATTCTAGGCCCCTTTCCCCTCTTCTACAGGATCCTCAATTTTTATATTTTATTCATATTCTCAAATGGTATCCTCATCATTATTTGTGATCTATTTGGAAGCTTATTTTTAATATTATTCCTTCCTATACACAATCTCTTGAAGTACACACTGCAGGTTGTACGAATTATCCTGGTTAGATGTTTGGACAAATAAACTCCTCCGGAAAATTTTATTGGTTTTTGTTAGCAAAAAATTTGTGTTCATTAATTTGTCTGATTCAAGTTCCATTAATCTGAAAATCTTCCACAATGTAGCAGAGCAGTTAGAACAAGACAGAGGAGAGCTAGAGGGAGGAAACAGGAAGTGAAGCATCAGCATGGAGTCGTCAACATGGCGAAGACAAGGAAATTGAAAGCCACACATAGTTAGAAAGTTCAGTTCCTACAACCTCTCTTTTCCTTCGGCTATCTGCTAGAGTTATGGACAAGTCCAATTAGACAGAATTAGACACCAAAGAGACCATTCTGCTCCAGAAAATGAAGACAAAGAAGCATTCAATAAAATTGCATGGATGAAAGTTGTATGCCTCAGCATTACAGGTTGCAAAGTTTGTGCATGTATATTTATGTTTAAATAGTCATTTACTTTTCATATTTGAGATTTGAATTATGCACATGTCTTCTCTGTGCATTACTCGATATTCAGTCGCTCCGATTCATCTTTAGGCAAAGAGATTTGAATTATGCAGCACGTGTAAGCTTCACATAGAATGGTAATTAGTCGGCGCTCTTCAGTAGCATTTAATGTTGAGGTTAATGATTTAGAAACAGTTCTTAAAAACCCACTGACTAGATTCAATATATATGAGTTAGATCAGCTTTTATTCTGTGTCAGTGGCAGTTGGATGCAAATGTGTCTAAGCTACCATTTTTTATGTATAGGAGTGTAGAGTCTGGTGACATGTCTTTAAGCTGTCTGCTACCAGCCCCAGCTAAAGGAAATATTCCTCTGTGTGTGGCAGAAACCCTCTATACTTTCGTTACTTTCTGAATTTTGCCATGGATGTTCTTATGGAAAGTATTTGTCTGATATTTGACTTTTTGCTCAAAGAAAGCTTTTTAGAAATATTTGATTTAATTTTTTATATTTACTTATTTTGTATGTTTGAGTGTTTTGAAGGCATGTATGTATGCACACCATGAACATGCAGGGTGGGTGTAAGATACCAAAGAACTGGAGTTAGGAATGCTTGTGAGCTGTCACGTGGGTGCTGGGTGTCAATCTCTAGTCTTCTTCAAGAGCTGCTACTGCTTTTAAGCACAAAGCCACCTTTCCAGTCCTTATTTGTTTTCCAGACAGGGTTTCACTATGCAGCCCTGGCTGGCCTTGAACTTGCAGTATGGAAGAAGACTAGGCTGGCTTTGAACTCTCAGAGGTGTGTCTGTCCCTCCCTCCTGAGTGCTAAGATTAGTAACTCTCCTGCACCCAAGAAAGCTTTGTGAGGTGATGATAAAGGGAGGATAGTGGAGCTTGTTTGAATAGATAAAGAGAGCATTGAATAGCTCACTTTATAAAAAATACATTTCTGGGTTTCTTATATATACACTCATGTGGTTAAGACAAAAACACAAATGATCTACAACATAAAAACTTGTATCTAGTATCACTGAATACTTTGTTTATGAATTTGAGTTACATTTATTTTGTGTGTATGTGCTCACATGTGCATGCATGTGTGCATATAAACATGTGGGCCACCTGTGGAGGTCAGAGGGCAGCTGGTATGTGTGTGTTTTGGTCCTTCCACCACGCTGGTCCTGGGAACAAATGCAAGTTATTAGGCTTGACAGCAAGCACCTTTGCCTGCTGAGCCAGCTCTCTGACCCACCACTGTGTCCTTTATTAAGAATTCCTGTTTATTCTACAGATATTATTAATAATTTAAGTTTCACTGTAGACGTCCCCCACTTCCTGATGTTTATTGGTTTTTAATGTGTAACATTAGAAGTATGTTGATCGTGTAGGAAGTTATTTATTAAAATATGTGTAATGCTCCATATAGATCAAATGTTTAGCAGCAATGCTTGGGTATAGGCATAATTAGCAAACTGATTTCAAATTGCCAAAATTCAGTGAGTCAACAAACCAATTAAAAAAAAATCTCAAGGATATTAGATTTGAAAATGTTCTTCCTTAATTTAGTTTGTCCGTTATATGTTATTTTAATTATTCATAGTATTGCTGAACATGCCAGGAAATGTCCTGTAATAGAATTTATTAAATAATGTAGTTCAGTAATATTGAACATGCTATATTTAGTAGCATGTTTTAAAGTCTCATATTAAAATGCTTTGTAAAGAGCTACCTAGCCACTTCAAAGCATGAAAGCAAGTCTTTGCTTGGTAACTCTATCCATTCTGTAATTTTAAAACCAAATGCTCTTTTCAGAAAAGGAATAATTTGAGCTATTTTGCTATACATAGAGGACAGATGATTTTTCTAGGAAACAAAAATACATATTCCCATTGTCATAGAACAGTGACCTTCACGTAGGGTATCGCTTTCTGATGTGTATCAGTGAACATAGATTCCCACCCCTCCCTCCTATGGGTGCAGTAAATAGGAGATTGCTCCTTTGGCTGAGAGGCTCTGCATACATCCGCTTTGTTGTGTCGTGCCAGACGGTTAAGGTGTATCAGATGGGTTATACAGCGCTGGGCTTAAGTGAGTGCATTAGACGTGAAGGAGAATGAACCTCAAGATGGAGAATCTGAATGGAATTTATCTTCGGTTCCATTAGGAGGTTGAAGGGAGCATGAAAGAACTATTCTTATAGTATTGATGTGGATTTTTGCATGCCCAGGATCTCCTATTATTTATTTTTGCTATTAATAGTAAAGACTCACAAATATGGTAAGTATAGACTTAGATTTTGTTCCTAAATAGATTATGTAGAGATTTTATGTAGATATGTGTGTATTTGGGAGTATCTATTTTAAAATTTACTTATTTTTGTGTGGGGCTGTTTTTCCTTTATGTGTATGACTTTGTACCATGTGCATGCAGTGTCTGTGGAGGCCAGAAGAGGGCACCAGATCTTCTGGGGCTGGAGGTTGTGGGCCACCTTGTGAATGCTGGGAATTGAACCCAGGTCCTCTGGAAGAACAGCTAGTGCTCCCAACTTCAGAACCATCTTTCCAGCTCAGGTTACATGTTTTATGTTTTGAGGTATTGTGATGAGTAAGAAATGGAGTCACATTTAAAATAAAATATGAATAGTTACCTCCTTCTCAGGATTGTTCAACAGTAATTGCCTAAGATCCTGTCCATTGATTGGTGAGGTCTTTGATGTGTTCCCTTGCTTTCTTCTTTTCCCCTCTTGTCCTTAGTGAGAGAAAGATATTCTTCAATTGATAAAAAATTTGCCTTAAAAACCTTTTAGCTTACACTGAGAATTCTTTCTTTTTGTGACCGTATGGTTGGCATAGATGTTTAGGATCTCATGTAACCTGGCTTCATTGTGTTGCCTGGACTGGTTTTCTGCTTCTGTCACAATCTTGTGCTGTACCTAGGTGCTGCTATTCAGATGCAGTCTGTGTTGCTCCTTCTTTGAGTTTTCATTCTGGTCAATTAGTGCTACCTCCCGTTCTTCTGTTTCTGATAGCAGTAGCCCGCTTATGCTACTGGTTCCTCTGTCGGTTTCTTTAGAATTAGGATGTATTTTTCCCCCATGCTCTCAGCAGAACTCAGTAGCCCCCCTTCTTGTAGTTGCTACGTACTTTGGAGGTGGTGCTTTCCGTGCCCATCGACCATAGATAGGTATGCCGTAACTGTTATTAGTGGGGCCGTGCGCCACTCTTATGTCTTCTAGAACAAGCATATTGTTAGCATTTGTTGATTATAAAATTTGCCTTTCCATGGTTGAAGAGATAGCTTGTCCTATGAAATTCTCTGATCATAATAACTCTCTTATATATGTTTCCCTGTTAAACTGCAGTTAAAATATTGGGTATTTTAGGGGTGGCTTAAAAGCAAAAGACAGATATTTTGTATAGCTGGAGTTCACAGAAGTTGACTTTAGGCCAAGGGTTCTTAATCTATGGATCGAGACCCCTTTGGAGATTAAATATCAGATAACGTGCATATAAGATATTTGCATTGTGATTCGTAACAGTAGCAAAATTACAGTTATGTAGTAGCAATGAAATAATTTTATGGTTGGGGGTCACCACAACATGAGGAACTGCATTAAAGAGTCACAGCATTAGAAAGGTTGAGAACCAATGCTTTAGGTTCTTCATTACTATTTTGTTTTGAGAGTTTGATTCTCTTCTCCTTTTTGCAGGACCCTAACAGGAGCATTCATACCAGCAGCAGCAGCAGCAGCAGCAGTAGTAGTAGTAGCAGCAGCAGCAGCAGCAGTAGCAGCAGCAGCAGCAGCAGTAGCAGCAGTAGCAGCAGCAGCAGCAGTAGCAGCAGCAGCAGCAGCAGCAGTAGTACCAGTTTTTCAAAGCCTCACAAATTAATGAAGGAGCACAAGGAAAAACCTTCTAAAGACTCCAGAGAACATAAAAGTGCCTTCAAAGAACCTTCCAGGGATCACAACAAATCTTCCAAAGACTCCTCCAAGAAACCCAAAGAAAACAAACCACTGAAAGAAGAAAAAATAGTTCCTAAGATGGCCTTCAAGGAACCTAAACCCATGTCAAAAGAGCCAAAAGCAGACAGTAACTTACTCACCATCACCAGTGGGCAGCAGGATAAGAAGGCTCCCAGTAAAAGGCCCCCCATTTCTGATTCTGAAGAACTCTCAGCCAAAAAGAGGAAAAAGAGCAGTTCAGAGGCTTTATTTAAAAGTTTTTCTAGTGCACCACCACTGATACTCACTTGTTCTGCTGACAAAAAACAGATAAAAGATAAATCTCATGTCAAGATGGGGAAGGTCAAAGTTGAGAGTGAGACGTCGGAGAAGAAGAGGTCGACGTTGCCGCCCTTTGATGATATTGTGGATCCCAACGACTCAGACGTGGAGGAGAATATGTCCTCAAAATCTGACGTGAGTAGCCGTGGGCCCCCCTCCTTCCCTTCAGCAAGTCTTGGGTTTTATTTCAGACAGCTTCATGGTGTGAAATGAGAGACCATGGACGCTGTCCCTGCAGGAAAGAGGAAGGGGTGTAGCCTAAAAGTGAATTTCCTTAACTAATGGGAAGAAGGAAATGCAATCCTTGAGGAATCTGTGGAGGTCTTTAGACTGTAATCGCAGTTGTTAGGGAAAGATATATCCCACAATGCAGTAAAGGTTATTTGAACGGCAACATAAAGATTCAGTGCCTTGCAAGCTTTGTTGTCGCGCTCTGTGCTGGTTGCTGACTTAAATTGTGTCCAAGCATTCAAGCGTGAAGGGAATGGAAAAACAAGTTCAGAGAGAAACCTAAGAAGCACGGTACCACTTGTGGTCATTAATATAAAGTAATTTTTAAATATTTTTAAAAAATAAATGGAGAATTGGTTACAGTTTGCTGTTTTTCTGTGTGGTGCTAGGGACTGAACCAAGGCCTTGCCTGTCAAGCAAGCACACTCTTCCTAAGCCAGACCCTAGTGCTAGTATTTTTAACAGAGTTAAAGGAAGCTTTGTTGTACCTGCATACTATGCATATTGAAATGTTGATATCCATACGTACCTGTAAAACTATTTTCAATTTGAAAATCAAGCTGTCTTTTTCTTCACGGGGTAGCCTCTGACTGGGAAAGAGGTAATGCATAGTCTGCTGCATGTTTGCCGGTGGGCAGGATTATCTTCTGAATGCCTGAGAAGGCATCTCACCATCTAATACCCCAGTTGTTTGATATTGTGATGTGAGCTTATAATTACAGATTTGCAGAGTTGGCTGGCAGGGATTTGGTAGTTATCTGTTTCAGCCTCTTACCTGCATAAGAAATCTTGCACATCTAGTGATAGGGCTGTTGGAAGGCATTTGATTCTGTTTTCAAGACTAAGTATTGCTTGCTATGAGGTTCCCTCCTCTTCCAGGCATCCTTCCTTCTTTGACTGTCAGGATGCTAGATCAAGGTCAAGAAGGGTCACTGACTACTTTAGAGCACCTTTCTTTCTGTCCTATGATGTTTACTGTGGATGTCCCTTACTTAAATACCGGTGAAGGATAGGAGGCCTTTCCCATCTGACGTGGATTTGCCCTGTTCTATATCACAAGCCAGCTAGAATCAGGACAGGGTGCCGGTTCCAGTTCTCACTGGTTCAGAGATACCTTCTCCTCATATTCTGTAGGGCTGGTCCCAACTTCTTATTAAAGATCAGATTAGAAGCTTGTGTCACTCAAAATGCTGCGGACCGAGTGGTTTGTGCAGCGCTAGGGAAGGATTAAATACTCACAGCTTGTGAAGTGAAAATAGGTAGAAGGAGTTATTCCACTCACCCAAGTATTTTTTTGTCCTTGTTTGCTCCAAACCTCCCTCTTAGCTTGAGACTTATTCGTAATGTATATACTACTTTTATGTGTATTTAGCGTTTGTTTCAGATCACCCTGAAATGCTCTCAGCGTGTGATTAATCTGTCAGGATTCGAGTTTGGCAACTCTCTCTGTGTTCTGAAATGTTATGACTTTTCTAGAAAGAAAGCTCTGAGTTGGGCTGTGAGTCACTGGTAAACTATGGGATCCACTTAGCGTGTCATCGGCAGCGTTTGAAGAACCAGAATGCATTGTCATTAGTATGCATAAGTGATGGTTTATGGAGATTCTATTTTAGAAAGAATGTGTTTCTTCAATGATCAGAATTTTCAAAGGCCCCTTTCTAGGATGTTTGTTGATTTGTTACGAGACCACACGGCAGTTGTAAGGCACTGTGGATCTTTTGCATGAACTTGTCACACATGGGCTTCCTCCTCATCTGGAAATTTCAGTCTGTTCTTTTATTCGTTCCTTGTTCTTTCCTCTTTAGGCATGTTTTATAAAACGTGCCTTTCTTTTAATGAAAGTCTTATTCAGCTTGGTATGTTCATCCAAATGGATCCCCTGAAAGGTCTTTGAAAGCCAAGAATTAGAACTGTTAATTACTTACAGTGGATAGTAAGTTTTTACAATTATTGGGGACGTAAGACCAGTGATCACAAAAAAAATGTCAGCCATGTGCTGTGTGTAGCATGGCAGACAAAGCATCAAAAGCTTTTGAGTGTTGTTTAGGTATAAAACTCAACAACTAGGCTTTCCTTATACATCTTTTGGTACTAAATGCTTTTATTTTGTTGCTGTTGGTCCAATTCTTTAAGCCATGGATTCAGGAGACTTTGCCCTTAGCAAAGGGTGCGGAGAGAACTAGAATTCAGCTTCTCCAGTGGTTTAGATAGCCATGTAGATTGTCCCCTATTGCCATGTCACCCGTGTTCAGGGCAGTACCACAGGAGCTGGAATGCTTCCCCGAGCATCCAGGATCACTCTCAGCTTTAGGAGCATAGCTCCCATTGTCTCAGGGAGGGGGGTGAACTTGTTGGCCTCTGAGTATGGCTGTATTCCGATGACCTGGTTTTTCCCGGGTCCTTTCAAGTTTTAGGATTCGATTATGTTCATTTGTGGGAATGGGGTAGTAAGTAAGCTTAAATAGAGCAGGTAGAGATCATGGACTCTGGAAATGAATAAAGATGTATGTATGAGAAGAGTTTCAGAATTAAGAAAGCTACAGAATAGTCTAAGGAGAGGGTCAGTCTTAAAAGGGCTTGCTACACCAGTGTGTTTTATCTGTAGTGCCTATATAAAAATCTAGGTGTGGCAGGACACATCTATCACCCATCTAGGGTGAGGTGTAAGACAAATGGATCCCCAGAGTTTGCTGACCGGCCAGTGTAGCCAGAGGTGAGCTCTATGTTCAATAAGGGGTCCTATGGGGCGGGGGGGGGGGGGGCCGGCGGCGTGAATAAGACCTGAAAAAGTGTACTACCAATCAACCTGAAAATACGGAAATGGAGAATCTCATGGGGCCCTGCTCCTAGACAAAGAACTGCAGGTAACTAAGGAATGCTGAGAGAGGGAGAAATCATCTTCCTCGGGGAAAAGCCTAATTGATTATTCGATAAATACCAAGTGGCCAGCCCTGAAAACAACACAAACTGAACAAGTTATATATTTAGGTGTGTGTGTGTGTGTGTGTGTGTGTGTGTGTGTGTAAGGCATAAGAAGTAAAGAAAGGGAGGCTATGATTTCAGGAGAGAGCAAGGGGAATAAGGGAGGGGTTGGAGGTAGAAAAGGGGAAGGAGAACACGATGTAATTATATTTTAATTTTTAAAAATTTATTTCAAAAGTGGAGAGTGAGGAAGACACCCAGTGTTGGCCTCTTGTTCCCACATATATCCACCAACATATCTGAACATGTATATAATTTATACAGCACACATACAACAGCAGCCAGCAGAAGGCTGGGGGGAGCAATTATACATCTGATATGTTTGTAAGGACATCTTGTCTCTGTGTAGTCTTCTTGTTGTTGTTTGAAATAGGGGTTCTCTGTGTAGCCCTTCCTGTAGCCTGGAACTAGCCTGGCCTTGAACCCAGAGATCCACCTGCCTCAGCCTCCCAAGTGCTGGAATTAAAGGTGTGTGCCATCAGACCTGTCTTCATTCGGGATAGACTTTGACAGTTCAAGGGAACAGTATTCTAAAGAAGCTCTTCCATAGCCAAGACTGGAGTTGTTGTTTGTTTGTTTGAGGTAGGTTCTCATTCCATGGCCCAAGCTTGTCTGGAACTCACTATTTAGTCCCAGCTGGCTTCAAACTCACAACTATCCTTCTGTTTTGGCATCCTAAGTGCTGGAATTACAGTTATCATTCCTGGCTAATGTGTGTGTGAGTGCAGAAAAACATGTCAGAATCAGTTATATCAGGAAGCATTGGGGAACCTAACTTGTTGATTCGTACGGGCCCTTTTGGCCAGATTTGCATGTGTATTTTGTATATGAGAAAAGGGAAACCAGCTGAGTGCCCACAGTTTTGCTGCACGTTTTCCAGAGGCCTCGTATTTGTTGGAAGGTCATGAAGAGACAGGTGACGGGAAGCCTGCCAGCTGTTGGTGATAGCCCGTGTTTGTGTCCCTGGTGCCATCAGGATTCTGGGCAGTAATGTTCAGAGGTTCTTGTCTGATCTGTACTGTGGGAGTGTTATGAAAATTAAATCAGTCCAAGTAAAGCCGTTAACACACTAATCAGGAAAACAAAATGCTCGCTACTGCTGTGTGTAACCTGGCTTCTGAGAAGCTTCACAACCTTGGCCCTGAAAGAGATGTTCTGGTCCTCAAGAAGGGACCGCAGAGCTCCCTCCCTTTTCCGGAAGTGTAGCTCTATATGGTGGGGATAGGGATATTGCCATGTGCCATTTTGTCTTGGCATAGTCCTGCGATGGCATGGTCCTGGGAAAAATAGGGCTCAAAGTGTGGTTTTATACAAAAATTAAGACCCGATTTCACAAGATCTTTTAGCTTTGTATTAAATGTGATCAAAGAGATTATTCCACCTAGCAATGCAGTAGGTCGGACATGGGACTCTTCCTTCTGCCTTCCCTCCCTTTCATGGTAAAAGAGACATATCCAGAAATGATTCATCCTCGAGTTCCATTAACATAACCAAGGGAGTTCTTTCTGAATGTTTGTGATCCTCTAGATAAATTTTCATTTTCAAAGAAACTGAAGTTTATCACACCAAAGTTCATCAATAACCTTCCCTGCAGAGGAATTTGGATAGGAGGAGGAGGGAGTGGAAAGAAGAGTCCTGACTCAGAGAGAGCAGGCAAATAGAAGAAACTTGCTAAGGGGATGCTGGATTGAGACTACTTTACACCCAGGAACCTTGGGCCACTTGTATTAGACTGTGCTTCTCAACCTGTGGGTCACAGCCCCTTTGACAAACCTATTTCCAAAACTATTTACATTATGATTCATAATAGTAGCAAAAATTATAGCAGTGAAAATAATTTTATGATTTGGAGTCACCACAACGTGAGGAAATGTATCAAAGGATCCCACTATTGGGAGAGTTGAGAGCCCCTGCTTCAAGGC